AAAAAAAAAAAAAAAAAAAAAAAAAAAAAAAAAAAAAAAAAAAAAAAAAAAAAGAGAGAGCTTTTTGGTGGAGATTGTTTGGGATTTTGGCAGAAGAACAGTCGAGGTGATTGGATTGTTCTTCCATTTTCTGCCACATTTTGCTGCAAATTTGGAACCCTTTTTGCTGCAAATTCCAGAGTGGGTTGTCTCAAGTCATGAGTAGGAAACAACTTGAACTTGGAGTGACTTACAAATGTATTCATATGTGATGGTGAAGGGCACCAATTTTACCAACAAAAATCTGCACTTCTCACTCAGCTTTTGATTATTTTATATACTCTTTTACCACGTGCATTACACGTGATATTCAAGTTTGGGTTATCATATAATTCAGATGGAGAGCTCCCAAAGAGTTACCCAATTATTCACATTATTAATGTTTATTTTTTTCTAATTCCTATGTTATGATTTATCAATTTATTTTAATTTGGTCCGATGTAAGAATATTAGATTTTTTAGAAATGGATTTTCAATTTTTTATGAAATTATTTTCAAATACGTTGGCATTATATTAGCGTTAGGATCTTCTATTGGTTGGAATGTAGATGAAGCTTTACGAAATGTTTGATTTTGTTTTTAATATGATATTTAACTTAAAAAAAAAAAAGACTAAATATAACAAAACTATATTTCATCTTTAAAAAAAACATATACTAAATATTTCAATTTTAGAATATTTGATTTTCTTTATATGTAGGTCAGTAGTGAATTTTTCTTAACAAGCTAATATCTAATTTAATTGGAGATAATTTTGCAAGCAATATTAAGTATTCGATTAATATTGAATTAATCCAACTAGGGGTGATATGATAAACACAAAATGGGTTTTTAGCGAAAAGAAAATTAACTATTTCTTATGATGATAATATTTAATATTTACTATGATATTGTTACCTAGAAAATTTTAACCTATTTAATTGATAATCTGTGATGTAGTCCAAGTTTACTTTTCCTCCACAAAATCAACACCACATTAGAGATTTGCATCCCAGTGATGTAGTCAAAGTTTACTTTTCTTCTGTTTTTTTCACCTTTCTTGTCGCGTGAAGAACCAGGAGGCATAAAAAATAGTGCCCAGCAATACATACATACATACATATATATATATATATATATATATATATATATATTCCTCCCAGAAATATAGACTAGACAATCCTGATACGCTGATTCAAAAAATTCGGCCATCCAATGTTGAATCTAATAATTCTCAGAAGTATTCTAGGCCAATATTTAAAGAAGAAAATGGAAACATATTCTAAATTGATAAGGTATAAAGGCGTAGAGAATAAAGGTTATAACCTAATATTAAAGTCATATTGAATCAAACCTCTTATGCCGTAGAGATATAAGAAGTATACTTGCGTAAATTATAAATGTAAAACGGCTTAATACTATGGTCACTTCTGTGCCAAATAAGAGAATATAACTTGGTTGCTGACAATATTAGTCTAGGCAAACTAGAAAGTAAAATTGTAGAGATTACATGTCTTTCGTCCCAGAGAAAAGAACTCGGAGGGTCCCGGAGCTCATTTGCGAGCTTCTGCTTTCTTCTGTTCTTTGGCTGAAAGTGAGGGGGAGAGAGTGGATATCAGTTTCAATGTTACAAGGAAATGTTACTATAAGAACTATATAGTGATAGTGTTCTGTTGTATATATTACCAGCCTTTTCTTCTTCTCTTTTTTTAGCAGCTTCTGCCCTTTGTTGACGAATAAGAGACAAACGTTCTGCACAGCATATGGTGAAATAAAATTTCAATATCAGACAAACCAATTATGACCTTACTTGAACAGAATCTGTTCTTTAGGCTGTATAACTGTATCGTTGAGTTCTAAGACAGTGCAATGAAAGTTATGGCTTCAAATTTTTTTCACACCCTTCAACAGCTATCAATGGTGCACATGAAAAAAGTTGTTCAGGACATAGCATTGGTTCCCCATGATGTTATCAAAGCGCATTTTGAACCAAATTTATACAATGTGAATGTGCAAGACGCTGAATACAAAGCAAGTGCAACAGCAGGTGATCATTCTGAGCATTCCTATATGTTTTTCCCTTTTAACTCGGGAAAAGAATGAAAGAAAATGCATATGAATCTTGGATGACACATCGATAATAAAAAGGTTTCATCCTCAGAACATAGAACACACACTTAAACCAGAGAATTGATCATTGAAAGAGGATTACCTAAATCTTTCCTAGCTTGTTCAGTTTTCCCTTGTTCTTGAAGCCTCATGTATCGCTCATGAGCCTTTTGTTTCTCTATCTCCTCTCTGGAAAAAGAATTAAAGAAAAATCAACTATAAACATAAAAATTAAGTAAATGTTAAATATTCGTTAAAACAAAGAAAATAGAGCTTTGTAACAACCTTTCACGCCTTGAAAGTTCAGTTGTTTTCCCAATCTGCAAAATGAAGTGAAATTACACCTCCACTGTATAACAATGTTCAATGCAAAACCTTCCGTAAGGATGATTATTAAACTTACATCAATATCTCTAGCTTTCAAGGTTTTTGGCTTCACCAAGTTAGGATTTTCAATCTCAATAATACCTTGAGTGCCTTTCCTCTGGCAGAATTTAACAACATATTAAGTGACTTAGTCTCGCTCAGCTCAAACAAACAACAAAATATGTAGACGATCAGACTTGTAGATTAAAGAAAAAAAATGTGACTGAATACAAACTCTAGGTTTATCCTCATCATCAGTTTCATCTCCCGATTCTTGTTCGGATCCTTCCTCAGATTCTTCCTCCTCCTTGTGTTCAGCTTCTACCTATAATAATAAATTAAATACATCATGTGCAGAAAAATAAGTAAATAGAAAGAACAAGACCATGCAGTTGAAGAAGCAGCAGCAGAAGGAAAAGTTGCAACACATCAGAGTATTATCCATACCCAATTGACAAACCCAACTACCGGGCATTGTAATTATATGTTGTTGGTAGAGGGAACTAAGTGTGTGCGTGTCTTAAGATACAGAGAGAGAGAGAGAGAACCTGTTTGAACGTGCGTGGACGCGTGGAGGTTCCGGCAACTACAATTAATTCAGAAACTGAAGTTAGCAGTGCAATTTTCAGCCATCTTAAACTTTCTCAACAATGAAATCTTTAGTTAGTATGGCAGTTCTTCTATTGGTGAATCTTAAGAACGGAAGAACTCTAGTCACAAGCGTATTTACATAATGCGTTGTGATCAAGTTTTGGGCTTTGCTTTAAAAGATTAATTCATCGACACCATCCATCTCTACCAACTTCTACTAGTTTTAAGAAGCAATTCCAAAGCAAAACGCGTTCACCTCGCACAATAACCACGACGCTTCATTTAGGTTACAATCATTTCAGCATCCACATCAAAAAGTAAAACAATTTCCACAATCAACTAAGCCTAGATCTCACCACCAACCACCTCCTCATAGTCGGCGAAACTGATCTAAAATATAAAGAAGTAACATATAAAAACAGCTAAAATCACTAATATATCCAGCATCATTCCAACTACTGGACTCTCCATGTCCACTACCATCTCGTATCCTAAAAACACAACTCGAATTCATCACCTCAAATATATAAAATCAACACATTAGGCAAGAAGACGATAGCACTCGCAGAAAAAGATCTCGTGATCTTGACTTTCTCGATAATCAACCGAAGGTGGTTAAAAAAAAACGAGAGATAAATATTGCTTACGCATGTCTTCAGGGGTAGAGAATTGGCGCCGACCGGTGGGCTTGCTCTTGTACTTTCCTCTTCCCATCGTCAACGAAAAGCAGCAGGGAGAAGGTAGAATCGGACGAAGAAGCAGAAGAGAAGCAGAATCGACGTAGAATAGAAGTCCCCTCTTAGTTTTAGTTGTGGAAGACGAAGTTAGTGACTTCTCCGCCTTTCCGCCGAGAAGTGAATTTATAGTTGTGTTGGCTTCTTTGTTCCCGTCCCGTTTACATCTCTCTGCGGTGCAAATCGCCAACCGGATTCCCAAACCCTACCCGAACCGGCACCCAATAATCACCTGCTTATCCTTTCCTTCATATCTTCACCCTCCACATTAATCCTAGATTTTCCATTACAAACCCGCCAGTTTGATGGCAATACGTAATTAATTAAAGCCGACAATATTTACTAGCGGTGAGTTCGCGCTGTTACAAATTGTATCAGAACTAGACACTGAACGACGTGTTAGTGAGGACGTTGGATCCCAAAGGGGTGGATTGTAAGATCTCACATCGCTTCAAGTATTTCTTGTAAAGGTGTAAAAACTCGAGAATGAACGCTAGGGCACCAAAGGAGTGGTTTGTAAGATTACATAGCGGTTGAAATATTACTTACAAGAACGTGGAAACTTGAGGATGCTAGCCCCAAATGAGTGGATTGTAAAATCCAACGTTGATTAAAATATTTTTTTTTATAAGAGGGTGGAAACCAGAGCGAAAGTAATAATAATAAATATATAATCATATTAAATATAAACGGTAGGTATTTTGGGGAGGGTATATATGGAGAAATAACCCTCGAAAAAAGAATTTGGGAGGGAAAAAAATCTGGACATGGAACATCGCTTCTCCAGCAGCGAGACCATATTTAGAACTGTAAAGCGAAAGCCCTAGCTCTCGCTCAGACATGGCCATGTCGCCAATGGCGTTGAGTTCGTCTTTTATTCACCACTCTCCTTTCCATTCCAATAGAACTCACCGACTGTCTGCTGTACCTTCAATTCGTACTCCCAAAATTGTTCTGAAAAACTCAAGGCATTGCTTTTCTACAATCTCTTGCTCTGGTAGGAGGCCAATCCCGACGACGGAGGAAGAGGTTCTTCAAGCTGTGTTGGAATCCGATGAGAAGATTCTTCCTTGCGTTCGGACGTACGAGAATGATTTATCTCGGCTTACTCTAGTCGGAGGCGTCGATTTCCGGCAGTCTATTACGGCAGCTGCAGCTGACGGCGGTGAAGCCGCCTCTGAGCACCTTGATTCTGGTATGTCTGCAATGGTTGTGGAGACTGTATTTCCGGGAACTTCAGACGAGCACAGCACGGTCTCGACCCGGCTGGTGTGTTATTTGCTAACCTGGCTGCGTAATTTGGTGCTCTATCTGCGAATCACAACTATGAATACTCATTGGCATCACTATAGTTTCCATATATTGGAATGAATTCGAGTCTTGACGTAAATGCGTTGCCCCGAACGTTTGCACCTGGCACGTTAGTTTCAGGAGTCGCCACTTTTACTTGCATTTAGAAAAAAAAAACTTATTTTGATTTCCACCATCGAAACAATTAACTCCGTAATTGATGTATGTGATTGACATGGTAGTGTTCTCCATCTCTAGTTCTTTGCTATCTTTAATAGCTCCATGATTAATATGTCCATTTCAAGTATTGTTCGATGTTCACTTACAATTACGTCGACGGTAGTATAATGTTCTCATATATGAAAATGTGAGTCCTGTTGTATAACACAACTTAACTATAATCTATCACATGGTATCTGTTCCTCCGTCTTGCTATAATATCGTCAATTTGTTAGATAAAAATTATACCTCCGATTGTACTTGTCGTTCTTAAGTTAACTGTTTTAACAGTTTTTACCTGCCAGAGAAGTCAAGGAAAAGGCTAGGAATCTCAAAAAGTCTCTCGCTCAAGATTTTAATTTGAGTACCTCATCCAAAAATATACTTGCTATGACATTTAGACAAGTAGTATTGCAACAGCTGTGGAGCTTTGAACTGGTTATCTTTATACCTGGATCTGAAAGGAATATGGAAGATCTTGAAAATCCAAGAGAGGTTTGTCATTTCGCCTTATTTTCCTCTATTTTTCGTGTTTTTTGATTTTTGTTTGTTTGAAAAATTGAAACATCACAGTAGCATGTCTATGCTGCAGGTTTCGCATGATACTGATAGGTTCAGTTCTCTTATGCATTTCATATCGGCAGGTTCCAATGTCTTTCACTCTCAGTTCATCTGAGGAACGAGTCATCTCTGTACTTGCAGAAGCTGTTTGCTTGTGCGCTCTTCGAAATACAGAAGGAAAATTTGTCAATAGTACAGCAAGTGGAACTTCAACTAGATTTTTTGATTGGTTCCGGAAGTCCACAATTGTTGCATCAAAGGATTCTTCAGTTATTATCTACAAGTTATTGGACAATGAGGTAGCTGATGCCAAAAGTCTATTACAAAAGTTTAATTCAAATAAGGAGAGCTGGAAACGTAGGAATTTCCAATCGAAGAACTATTGGTGGATGCCTTCTGAACTCTCTGAACTTGAAAAATTCGGTGGGGCTGAATTCAGTGCATGGGCTAGCGAGTATGTACCTTCGTACAGGCTACAAATTGATGCTCGTCAGTTCAATGGTTTAAAATTTGGAGGCTGGAGAGAATCTGCTGAGAATAGGTGGGAAGTCCTTTTGACCCACTCCCAAATGGTATTTTGATCTTTCCTTCTCAGCCGTTATCTTTCTGTATTATCTTAATGTGTCCAGGGATGGTATTTTCACTATTTAGCCTAGTTCAAGAGCTACCTTCTTGGAGTGCACCTTTCGGCGAGGACAATAGTTATGTTATCATAAATATGTGTTAAACACGCTCTTATTTCTCTACTTACCTATCGATCCAAACACAAGATATGGACATGATAGTACATCTTCTTTATAGATTCAAGCATGGCGAGTACTGAACAAAATATTATCTTTATATATTTTGCACATTAACAATCTCAGATTTAATAATGTGTGTGGTGTATAGAATTAAGGACACAAACTTGTCTTCACATCTATTCAATTTCAGGAAAAATTAAATAGTTATGTATATACTTCAATAATGTAATATTTTTGAACCATGTCTTTAAATTTTATCCAGTAAAATTTAACATTATCTTTATTATTTTAGTTTCTGCATGTTTGTTCATGCATATCTCAGTTCCTTGATTTAAATATTCTTCCATGTTAGTGTTGCATATCTTCAATATGTTCGTATTGAATCCAAGATATATTACATAGGAATCAATCTAGCACTTTAAGGTACGTTAGACATGCAGACACTGTTTATAACAGTGTTCATACTTCTTATTCTAAGACTATCTGACCATTCGTTATGCAGGTAGGATTGGCGAACATATTAGACATTTTCTATGAAGATGTATATTCTCTGCCCGATAAACAACTGCAATGTGGTGCAATCGTGCATTCTGCTAACTTGATAAACAAAAAGGTATCTGCTTGTATGTACACACACATATGTAATTATAAATGTATGTGCATTGTGCTTACTTGTATGTATGTATTTGATTGTATATTGGTTTCTTTGCAAACCATAAGGAAAGTTGTTTTCTTCTTTCTTCTGGGAACAAAAGTTGTTTGCTATTGAAGTATATGCTCCACATGTTGCAGAGAAACTATTCCTCCTGGGGGTTTCTATCCAAGACTTTAGCTGGTGGAATTTTTTTTGTTACTATTGTTGCTGTTGGTCAATATTTTTTGCCTCGTGTTCATGTGTCTGGGAGGTATAATGTAGAACAGCCGGTTTCATCACTTTATGGAGTTAGCTCTGTGAAAAATCAGGCTATAGAAGCAGAAAAGGTATTCACCAGACTTCCCCTTTATTTTCCATTTTCTGACATAATCCATATTTTTATTGAGATGTAAAGTTTAATATATGAACCTTTTATTGACAGTTGGAAGAATACTGCATCTCAGTTGTAAATATTATAAAAGATGCCTTCGGTTGGCACGGTGATGTACACACAGATAAGAGAGTTGGTGCGTGGATTGGGGAAGCTCCTGATTACTTGAGGGTGGTTGAATCTGATACAGGTAGTGAAGATACTCCATCTGGTACGATAGAACAAGATAATGTTGATGGAGTGAAAGCTTCTGCTCAGGACATAGCTAGTTATCAGGTGATTTGAATTTTTATTTGTTTTTTCTTCAGTCTCTTAATTGGGACAATTCAGGGAATGACTTGCATAATTGCTTATTGCATTGTTTCACGTTTTGTTAAAAAGTGTGCAAAGACCTGAGCATTGTCTGCTCAAATGCAAGTAGTGAAACTTAAGCATGCCGATAAAACTTTCTTTCATCTCCTGGTAAGCGGTGTGGTAAACTGAATTTTGAAATATATTATTTCTGCAACGGGGTGTTTTTTATCCTCTGAAAAACGAATCGTTAAGGTCAAATTAGATTTTCTCTGAAGTTATATAAACTTGGCTGAGAGATTAAGGATCCTAGAGAAATTGAAACAAAGGAGAAGGAACTCCCACACTTCCTACTTCAAATAAGAACACAAGAAGACTAGATGACTTTGGGTTTCATCTGCATTTCTACTCAGCAGACTTCAGCTCTATTAAGGTATTCATGAGAAACCAATTAACCGAAATATTTCACCTTTTTGAATTTTGATCCTTCTAACTTTCCATATTAATAGTGCTGAAATTTAGCTAACATAGATCTGGCATCCACGATCCTTGAAAACAGTCTTCACAGAGAGTTCACCTAGTGATTCAAGTGTTCACCTCCTTTTATCTTCACCATTTGTAGGGCTGAATCCATTCAGCAACTACAAGAAAATGCGGAAGTCACGAAGTATCACTAAATTCAAACTTCTTCGGGATAATATTTTCCAGGACTTGGTTTCCTCCTCCAAGCCTCGTCGAATCCCCTGTGAGGTTGTGATAGCTAAAGCAAGAAATTTCTGCATCTGTGCTTGCTCAACCTGCCATCCGCCCTTCCAAAGCCGGTTTATTACCATATTCTAGTCTCATGTGATATCATACCCTGGGATTTAAAATATTTACGTCAAGGACTGTAGCAGCCTCCCCTTTTTAGTTCTCCCGTAAACTACCCTCTCTTTTCCATCAGAAACACAATGATTCTATGTCAAAGTTCATTAGGTTAGTTGTGAATTTTTCATATCACTTTGCCATCAGCGCTAGGTTTCTCTGTCAAATTACCAGTACAGAAACCACACTGGATCAAAGGGACAAA